AGGTCTCTTTTTAAGGTTCTGTTCATTCTCTCTGCCTGAGTTCAATTCTAGACTGATCTACAGAGCTAGTTCACAGACAGCCAATACCACATGAAGAAACTCTGACTCGGAAAATTTAAAAACAGACACAGAACAAAACAAACATGAGAATACAGCATCTTATGGACAGTGTGTAGGGAAAAGTGGGATGGAGTCAGCATAAAGGAATCACACAACGGGGCAAAGTAAGCGAGAAGCTAATCAAGTAATGTTTCCCAGAGGGAACGCAGGATACCCCGTGTGTGCCACAGACGGAGCTCACAGCAGCCTTGGGGCTGATTCCTGCAGCCTCTTGGGTGGGGAGTAGACCTGGATTCCTTCAAGGCTCTAGCCCCGCCCCCGCCCCGCCCCCGCCCCAGCCCCAGCCCCGGCTCCAGACATGACCTTACAAGACTGGCCCTGGGCACATGATGGAAAAGACTGATTCTATCTTAAGATAAAATACCATCTTATTACAAGGTCAAAATAAAATTCTTTTGTTAACAACACTAAGTGCTCAAAAAGGGAACCTTGACTTCTCCAGTGCCGCTCCACCAGTGGAGCTATTTCGTAAAACATTAAACAGAGACAGTTTCATCAAGTTGTAATACTTGTATTGTGAGATTCCCCACTTTATCTCTGATCTTTACAAAAACAAGATTAAGAACTAGAGAGGAGACTCAGTTTTGAATGTGTAGTGTAACCGGAGCCAAAAACATTTGTCTCTGCTTTTTTATTATTATTATTTGTTATATATATATATATATGTTTATGTTTTTTTATGTATATAGATATTTTGCTTGCAAAGATGTCTGTGCACCACGCTCACAGAGGTCAGAAGATAGTGTTGGATCCCCTGGAATTACAACGGGCTATGGGCTGCCATGTGGGTGCTGGGAATTGAACTCAGATTGTCTGGAAGAGTAGCAGGTGCTTTTACTCCTAGCTCCTTTGTTTGCCTTGTAGTAGTAAGCTGTAGTAAACATTGCCTCATTTCCTTTTCTCTAGGAGAAGGTCTTAAAGTAGCAAGAACTACCAGGTGGTAGTAGCTCATGCTTTTAATCCTAGCACTCAGAAGGCAGAGGCAGGTGGATCTCTGAGTTCGAGGCCAGCCTGGTTTACAAATTGAGTTCAAGGACAGCCAGGGTTGATACACAGGAAAACCCTGTCTCAAAAACAAAACAAAAGCCGGGCAGTGGTGGCGCACGCCTTTAATCCCAGCACTTGGGAGGCAGAGGCAGGCGGATTTCTGAGTTCGAGGCCAGCCTGGTCTACAAAGTGAGTTCCAGGACAGCCAGGACTACACAGAGAAACCCTGTCTGGAAAAACAAAAAAAACAAAAAAAAAAAAACAAAAAAAAAAAACAAAAAAAAAACAAAAAGGAAAAAAAACAAACAAACGAAAAGAAGAGTTATCATTTCAGTGGTTTTTTGTTCAAAGCAGTTTCTATGGATTTAGCATTATCCTCAGATAAACAAACTGCAGAACAGATAAATGCATCCAAATTAACTCCCATTCACCTGATCTCCCCACAGCCGTATGCCCTCCGTGTCTCCTCTTGCATCTTGTTCTCCATTTCCTGCTGTTAAAATGCACTGAAAGCAGACACACATAATTCTCTACCACACAGTCCATGAATGAAGCTGTGTGAGGGAGGGCTTTGTCTGAGACCTCGTGAGAAAACTCTAAGAAAACGAGACAATGGGTCTTGTAACCTCTGTCCCTCCACAACCCAGGTTGTTCTTGGAATGTGCTTTCGTGTTTCTCCTGCGTGTAACAGGGAAGAGTGAGTTTACTTCAGCTCTTGTCAGGCATTTGTCTCTATGGAAAAACATGTCTTGCCACATATGACTTATCCATGTGACTATATACTTTACTCATGTGGTTTCTCTTAACCCTCAGAGTATAAATTGTCTGATGCTTTGAATAAAGTCAGCTACGGACTCCACCTCATTTTTATCCCCCCTCACCCAGGTTCACTCCATTGACTAGGACAGCACCAAGTGGCACCAGAACAGGGATCTGAAGTCATCCCTGAGATAAAGAGTGGGGACCCTCACAGGAGGGGGTGAGTGGAGATGATGAGGCAGAGACCAGGGAAGCCTCTCTGCCTCAAGTCAAGCTTGGGAGTGGTTTTTAAAGAAAGGAAGAGCACAGATATTAAAATCACGACTAGCTGATTGCTTGCTAGTTGTTCATGATTATCATCCCTGGTTTCCGGAAAAAGGAACTTTAAATGAAGGAAGTATGGGACAGAAGCTAAAAGAATACTGAAGTAACAATGACAAGGGGAAAAGATCACGTTAGTGGGTCTTGGGCATTGACTAGAACTGTTAATAAGATTCTCAAAGGGCTGGAAAGAGAGCTGAGCGGTTAAGAGCACTGTTCTGAGTTCAAGTCCCAGCAACAGCATGGTGGCTCACAAGCATCTGTGATGGGATCTGATGCCCTCTTCTGGTGAGAACTGAACACAACGAAAGTATACTCACATAAACAAATAAATAAATCTTTTTTAAAAAGAGAGTTTCTTAAAGAAGATAAAGAGGATATTACTCACAACGGAGAGATGGCTAACTCTTTGAATGGATATGAATTGGATAATCAAACCTTAAAATTAGTGAAAGAGGCAAAATTAAAAACAAAAAAAAAGATTTTGTCCTTTCAGGAAAAAAAAAAAACATAAAAGCAGTTCCAGTGACTGCCGCCAGGTATCGGTGACAGCCCCTCAGCTCCCTTGTCAGAGCCTCCTTTAGACACCTATCTCCCACTGCCTGAAAATGACCCTCAAGCTCAGGGTGAGGAATTTGAAATCAATCAACCTTATATCTCCTCCATTTCCTGATGAGAATTTATGAGAACTTATGACCATGCTAATTTTATATCCCAGACAAGCGAGGGAACGTTGGGAAGAAGAAATCAGTCTCCCAGGTCCTCCTTGGCTTGGTGTTTTCAGTGCGACTTCAGCCGAATCAAAATGTTTAGGTGCACTAGCCAATCCACTTATAACTCTAGAAGGAGCAATGACATTGGGCAGTCTTCTCACTTAACCTTGAGAGGCAAAGGAAGAACTTCAGCTATTTGAATCCACAAAGAAGCATTTGTGTATATGTGGAGCCTACACTGCCTTTATACTGACTTATTCCACTAAATCGTGTCCTACAGGCGTTATAGCACAAGAAGACCTAGTTGTACCATGAAATACCAAGTGCTTACCATATTCTTTTTGCTCAGTTAATAATTGGAAGGGTCCTCAGGGGAAGACCCAGTGTGAACAATTAATTGGATTTGATACTTGCTGTGTATTACATTACCCATAACCAACAATCAGTTTTTAAATGCGTCACAAAACTCTATGGATTTTTAAATTTAATTTGTAGATTACAATGGAAGGACAGGAAATATCCACTCTCAGTTATGGTGTTTTCTCATATGAACTAAATTTCATTGTAAAAATTGTCCAGCCCCCCCCCTCTCTTTCTCTCTCTTCTTCCCTCTCTCTCTTTCTCTCTCTCTCCCTCCCTCCGTCCCTTCCCCTCCCTCTCTCTCAGGCACGAGGAGGGCCTTCTGTTCAGCACGGCATCACCTAGGAGTGTATGCCTGTTTCCTCAGCTCTTGGGAAGTGGAGGCAGAAGAATCCTATGTTCAGGATCCATGACACTCTGACTCAAAATACATGTATTTTTTGAGGAATACTCCTATTAGCAAAAGAAAGTAATATTTAAGGACAGAAATTGAGGATAGACATAGTCTATATTGATGAACAACTTAATTAGAATGATTTCTGTGTTCCTGGCCACTTCACACCACTGCTACCCGGCCACTACTCTTTGTCTAATTCACGTGTGTCCAGTTCTAACGTCATTCGTCTTTGTGTGTTTCCTTCTTTGACTCCTTTAAAAACATTTAAGTTACTTGTTATGGTTTGTATATGCTCAGTCCAGGGAGGCACTATTAGGAGGTGTGGCCTTGTTGGAGTAGGTGTGGCCTTATTGGGGTAGGTGTGTCCCTGCGTGCATGGGCTTAAGACCCTCACCCTAATTGCCTGGGAGCCAGTATTCTGCTAGCAGCCTTCAGATGAAGATGTAGAACTCTCAGCTCCTCCTGCACCGTGCCTGCCTGCACACTGCCATGCTTTCTACCATGATGATAGGGACTAACCCTCTGAACCTGTAAGTTAAATCTTGTCCTTTATAAGACTTGCTTTAGTCATGGTGTCTGTTCCCAGCAGTAAGACCCTAACTGAGATATTACTACATAAAGTATTAGATAACATGATGGTACTTTCAAATAAAGTTTAGTAGATTCTCCTTTATCTTCACCCCACTCCCACCTCACCCCACACAACTACACCTAATCCCCTGACAACCCTCTGCTGGTCTCCTTCTTACTTCCTGTCTTCCATGTGTCCTTTTACCCTAGACCCCACCTTTCCTCATCATCTTTTCAGGGTTGTTTTGTTGTTTTGTTTTGTTTTGTTGTTTTCTTTTGTTTTTTTTTTTGTTTTTTTTATTTTGGTTTGTTTGGTTTTATTTTATTTTTTATTTTTATTTTTATTTTTATTTTTTTTTGGTTTTTCGAGACAGGGTTTCTCTGTGTAGCCCTGGCTGTCCTGGAACTCACTCTGTAGATCAGGCTGGCCTCAAACTCAGAAATCTGCCTGCCTCTGCCTCCCAAGTGCTGGGACTAAAGGCGTACACCACCACTGCCTGACTTTTTTTCAGGTTTTAACCACATTTTGCACCCGTTGATGGTTACACATGGAGAAATTCCACGAGTTCCCTGACTGCATCCAGTCAATTTCCCCCAAGAAGGCTCTCGCTATGAAACTCCTGCAACAAATAACGTGCAAGCCTTTCTTTCTCCCATTAACCTCTCCGTGTCCACTTAATTCTCAGGCTCAGTGAGAAAAACCCTGAAACGAGGCAGGTTAGAATTCCTGTCAGTCGGGTGGAAACAGCATTTTCGACAGAAAGGACGAGTGATTGGCTTCAATGCTCATTTTATTCCAATGAAATAAAGCAATGCAAAAGTTGCCTGGGTCAGAAGCTGGACTAAACTGGATTGTAGGCTGGAAGCCCAGAACAGGAGTTTTACGTTTATGAACCACTGTACATCACGGTCTTCCGGCTCTACCCAGAGACGTTCTGTTAACAAGTTATCATGCAAAGAAGGGGGCGGGGACAGAAAAGGGAGTGGGATTCTAGCAGGGAGCACTGGAGTAGAGGGGCTCTCCATCTGCTCTTCTGCAAACTGCCCATCAGCACGGCTCGTCTTTGATGATGTTAATATGGCTACCATCCTCCCTGCAACACGAACAACCGTAAACATGGTATTAGTACCTGTCACCCTGAAACCAGGTCACCGTTGGCATTTTAAAGTCCTATGTCCGTTATGCATCCAGTTCCCTTCGGGACTACATTCACTCCGTCGCTTTTTAAAGGTTAATCCAGAAAACATAAAGGGTAAAGACATTATTTCCCCGTTTAGTCAGCCCCGCCCTCCATATGCACCCATACGCGCACACTCCAAACCTAAGGTAAGAGGGCTCTAATGCCTACGAAACGTCCCATGAAGACTTAAGACTCTTCAGCGGAAGCTCAGACGTGGGAATGGACTCAAAGTATACCCCTGGGTGTTACAGCCATGTGCCCAGTGTGTTACATGTAGGGAGTCAAATGCCATACACTGAACACTTGGCATTTTACTAAGTATATATAGTAAGTCTTCCCTTCCAACTGGTACATACAGAGTACACTGAATGGCCTATGAATCTAAAAGGAAGTATAATATCCTGTAGAGTTTAACTATTAAACATAGACTTATTTGTGGGTTTATGTTTGTAGGTATAGGGCTGAAGACTGAACTCAGGGCCTTATGTATACTAAGCCAGTTCTCTACCACCGGGCTACATCTCAGCCCCTAAATTTGCAATATGCTCTTTTCTTTTCCCCTCAGTGGTAATGATTGACCCCAGGGCGGCATGTATTGTAGGCAAACATTCTACAGCTGAGCTGCACTTCATCCCACGCTGAGATAGTGACAGAGCTTGACTGTCTGCTGCTCTACAGTTGACTGCTCACGGCTTTGTTCAATACCTTTGCTCTAAGAATAGACTACAGGTTTTACAGCTTTTAAGTGACCTTATACAAAGCAAGATTAGCTGAAGTCACATTTGACTCCCTCTTCTGAGAAAGAGTTACTACCTCCAATAATCAAAATTCAAGGAAAGGAATGACACCTTGAGTGGTATACAGCTGTGAGCATGTGTGACCTGGGGCTGTCGATAAGAGCACTTGTTGCTCTTGCAAAGGACCCCAAGTTTGATCTCAGGCACAACCATTTGTAACTCCTGTTCCAGAGAATCAAACTCCCTCTTCTGGTCTCTCTGGGTACCAGATATACACGTTGTGCACATACATACATACATACATGTACGCAAAACACTCACACACATACAATAAAACAATAAATAATTTTATAAAGCTCTTTTTTAAAATACTGGACCTGATTTTCATGCACAGGGTGCATTCATTCCCGTAAGTGTTCATATCCGTTCCACACACAGGGTTGAGGTTCCTGGGGCATGCTGGGAAGTCAAAATGACCACAGTCTGGCTACAGAAGAGAAAAGCAGAGATGTTAAGAGAATGACTTGAGACACGTCCATTGCACTGTCCCCAGCGTTCCCTAAATGTCATAGAAATATCCTACATAACTACTTATGCTTCCCCCAGCCCCCCAAAATGAGTTTGTAATGTAAAGATCATATATACAAGAGTTCAAATACAATTACCAAAATAATAAAGAAAAAAAATGAGGGGCTGGAGAGATGGCTCAGTGGTTAAGAGCACTGACTGCACTTCCAGAGGTCCTGAGTTCAAATCCCAGCAACCACATGGTGGCTCACAACCATCTGTAATGAGATATGATGCCCTCTTCTGGTGTGTCTGAAGACAGCTACAGTGTATTCATATATAATAAATAAATAAATCTTAAAAAAAAATGAGCTAAGAGTAGGTGTGGTTCAAACCTGTCATTCCAGTACTTGGGATGCTGAAGTAAGAGGATTGCCTCCAATTTGAGGCCAGCCTGGGAGACTTAGTAACTTCAAGGCTAGGCAAGGGAACACATCTAGACTTTGTCCCCTCCAAAAAAACAAGAACTCAGAGCCCAGCCTTGTGGGTACCATTTGGACAATAATCCTAGTACTTGGAAGGCAGAAGCAGGAAGATCAGGTGTTCAAGGTCATACCCAGCTATACATCCAGTTTGAGACCAGCCTGGACCTTGTCTCAGACCAAAAAAAAAAGAAAAGAAAGGAAGAAAGGAAGCTCAAAACGCTTAAACACAAACACAGTGAGAATGTGTGCGTTTAGTAAGCCCATTTTTTAAATCCTCCCGACCCATTTCTTACCTAATTCAACAGTAACTGTCAGTTTGCAGGGAGGGCTATTTATTTTGAGACAGGGTCCCACTATTGGCCTGCAGCTTGCTATGTCACCAGGCTAGCCTCAGAGATTCACCTGCCTCTGCCCTCCGAAGCACCGGAATTAAAAGTGCTCTCACACCACGCCTAGAAGTCTCAGTTGTTTTTTTTAAGCAATGCCTTTTACCGAGCGTTTTTAAAGTATTTTTGATTATTTCTCCCACACATATTATTTTCCTTCATTACACTCACGTTTCCATGAGCCCCTCAAGTGTTATAAAGACTCGAACCCCAGCTGGGGACACACAGTGACACATGCTGGCCAAGTGCTCAACCTCTGAGCTACACCCCTATAAGAAAAAAAGAGCTACACTCTTACTTTGGAAGAGGACAGCCTAGCCTTCACTCAGCAGCCTCACCTCCATCCCAAGAGTCTAGAACGCTAAGCCTGGGGTGGTCCTGCACACCTATGAGCCCAGCACCTTGTCTCCAGCGTGGCCAAACCTCCCAGCTCATGGGACAGTTGGAGGTTCTATGACACGCAAGTGAACAGTCTAAGCCAGCCAGCAGGGGACAAATCTGCTGTGGAAACTGTTTAGAGACAAAGATTGGGTCATTTACCTGCAAGTTCTTTATGTAGAGAATGGTTGTAAACATTTTCACTGTCAAATATCCAAAGGAACCCATCCTCCTTACATCTGACTTGTTAGAAGTCAGACTGCTGCCTCTCAAGACAGTCCAAGGAACCAAATAACCCATTTGAGTGCCCAGGTCTTGATTAATAACTGTTAGTTTCCCTAACTTTTGTCCTAGATATTGAATAAGGCCAACCAAGTAAAACTGTCTCTGCACCCCCTAACCATTCTTGGAGGTCGCCTGTCTAAAGTTTCCTTTGCCAAGAGTCTGTATCTTCAGGCCACACCCAATGCCTCCTTCTGCACTGTGACACTTTCCCGTGCCTCTGTCAGCCAAGGAGTCTCTACCCAAACAAAAATGACACTGGCAGACCCTCGACACCGCAGTTCTCAGTGAACGGTCTCATCTTATTTTTATTTATGCCCACAGAATGTAATATGGTCAAATATGTAAAATATCTAATATACAGAGTTACTGTCACACCTCAGAAATTTTGAATTATTAAAGGAAATGTTAGAACAGACACATCCATAGGGCCTTCAAAGACTGAGCCGTTCTTGAGTGAAATATATGCTTTTAGCTGATGAGGTGGCTCACATCCGTCATCCTAGGACTCAGGAGGATCTTGAGGGGGGAAAAAAAAGTATACACTCTTCTTCCTGTATCAAGAAGACGGCGTGAGATGCTGGCTTACAAAGCCGTGTGTGGTTTCTGAAGTGACAAGTATAGCTTGAAAATGGTTCAACACGTCGCTGCATGAGAAGAGACTGGAGACAGACAGGGTTCCTACTTACTGTTCTGAACTGAGACCTCTTCATGATCTGAGAATCGGTGGACTCGAGTGACTCATTAGAGGCTGTAAGGAGAAAACACTGAGGTTGTGATATGACGAAAGTAAGTTGTCCGTAAGAGATCCGTAAATCTCAGTGTGTAAATAAGAGAGAGAGAGTCGTAGCAGAGGAAGGTGCCCTAAGCCAACCGGGGAGGGGGGGGAGGGGAAGATGGTTCAATGAGTAAAATGTTTCATGGTGTACTGAGTTCTGATCCTCAGCACCCAGAGCTGGGCTTGGGTCTGCACACCTAGCATTAGGAAGGGGCAGAGACAGGAGGATACCAAGAATTACTGGCCAGCCAGTCCAGCAGTAATGGCAAGCTACAGGTTCAGCAAGAGACCCCCATCTCCCAGGGCGGTGGTGGCGCACGCCTTTAATCCCAGCACTTGGCAGAGGCTAGGCGGATTTCTGAGTTCGAGGCTAGCCTGGTCTACAGAGTGAGTTCCAGGACAGCCAGGGCTATACAGAGAAACACTGTCTCAAAAAAGAGAGAGAGAGAGACAGAGAGAGAGAGACAGAGAGAAAGAGAGAGACAGAGAGACAGAGAGAGACAGAGAGAAAGAGAGAGACAGAGATAGAGAGAGAGAGACAGAGATAGAGAGAGAGAGACAGAGAGAGAGAGAGAGAGAGACAGAGATAGAGAGAGAGAGACAGAGAGAGACAGAGAGAGAGACAGAGAGAGAGAGAGAGACAGAGAGAGACAGAGATAGAGAGAGAGAGACAGAGAGAGAGAGAGAGACAGAGAGAGACAGAGAGAGAGAGAGAGAGATTGATTGAGACCCCGTCTCAAAAAATAACGTGGAGCGGGCTGTGGAGAGATGGCTCAGTGGTTAAGAGCACTGACTGCTCTTCCAGAGGTCCTGAGTTCAAATCCCAGCAACCACATGGTGGCTCACAACCATCTGCAATGGGATCTGATGCCCTCTTCTGGTGTGTGTCTGAAGATTACTACAGAGTATTCATAAATAAAATAAATAAATCTTTTAAAAAAAAATAACGTGGAGCAATAGAAGACACCCAGTGTTGACCTCTGGCCTCCGTATGCCGTCAACATACACGTGCGCGCGTGCGCGAGCGCACACAGTTAAGACACAAAGACCAAAACCAAGAGCAGTTTGTAGTTTATCCACACATGACAGTCCCTCTGATGCCCCTCTTCAAGCCTCTTTAAAAAGACCTCCCATCATTTCTTCCTGGGACTTCTAGGAACTGCACAGAGCATTTGATTCTGTTTCTATCAAGTTTCTTGAAAACCGATTTAGAAGTTACAGGTATCAGGGAAGTAACTAGCAGTGCCTTTTGTCTGTGTGTACAAGATTTTTTTTTCTTTTCAAATAAACTCAAAACACGGATTTAACTTTTGAGACAGGGTCTGATGGAGCCCAGGTTGGTCTTCAACTGGCTATGTTGCAAGCAGGGCTATGACCCTCCTGCCTCTGTTTCCCAAGTGCTGGGATTACAGGCGTGACCCAGTACACCAAACCCAATAAACACATATAGGTCTTAGGATTTCAACTCCGCTTTCATAGATGCCAAGTTCATCCGGAAGAAGGTCATGAGGGCATTCCCACGTCCAGCACACCCCGTCAGACTCAGCAGAGCCGTGGATACAACCCAACTGCGTATATGGGTCCAAAATAATCTGCTTAAGAAAGGTAGAGCAGATGGCGGGTGACGTCTAGTTGAAGCTAAGATCGAAGCCCCAACTGGAACGGCAGAGGTTGCTTGACCCACATTCAGCCTCCATGCCTCTCTCTCTACCGGGAAGAACCGCCAGTAACGGTGCGAACCCTCGCCAAACTACCCAACCCCAGCAGGCCAGTGCTCTCAGCTCCAAGCTGGTCCCTTGACACCAGACCCACTTGAGCGTCACCTGCGAAGTCTGTGGCCAGGAGCAACAGCACCAGTTTCAGCATCGCTAAAGCCGTTCTTCCTGCTCTACTGGAAAGCTCTCCTGTACTGGAAAGCTCTCCTGTGCAGCCAACAGAGCAGTGGTCAAGCAGTCACGCGCTGGCACTACGGGGAGTGGGAAGGGGAGGGGCGAGGGGCGGGCTAGAGGCTAGGCAGGAGAAGGAAGCGAGGAAGAGGAACAGAAGTTTCAGGAGAGGGGAAGACAGGGAAGAGGAAGAGAGAGGGTTGGCCAGGGGCAAGGGGAGGCATACCACCTACACACACACACTCACACTCACACACTCACACACACACTCACGTACACGCACACTCGAATACATCCTCACAGCATCCCTCTATACCTCCACCACCTAAACACCTAACACACAGCACATCACACCCTGCACCCACAACCCAGCCCCTCCGGACACCCCACCTATCTTTACCTCCCCTCAAGTGCTTCAAACACCCCATCCCAACCCATCTAGGCCACACACTGCACCACAACCTTAACCCCTCCTCAGAGGTCACACATACCTCCACCACACACCCCATCTTTCTTTCGAATACCCCAAACATCCCCCACTAGGTATCCCACCATCCTTTCCAGATACCCTACATCTTACATACCCCACACATTCCACAACCCAGCACCTCTCCTCCACACACCCCAAACGACCCCTTTCAAACCACCAAACACCTCTTCCCCCCACAGATTCCATACCCACTACACAATTTAACATCCCTCCACCCACCACATGTGCACAGCCGTCCACCCTCCAGACACCCACCTCGCCCCATCCACACCCCACACACATGACCACAACCCAAACCCCTTCTTCACCACCTTTCCACACACTTCAAACACATGTCACCACCACTCCAACCCTCCAGTCCTTCATATATCCCGCCTAACACCCACCACACACTATCACCTCACCTCGATCCACCACTCCAAAGGAATTAGCCCGTCATCTATGCACTCGTCCACACAGACACCCCCACAACTAAGCAAGCTACCTCTCCTCCCCAAACATACACCCAGTTACCATATAACCCATCATCCCACCACCACATCCCCCAAATGACCCCTACTCCTGCAACCAAATACTTCAGCCCTCTCCACGATCCACCACTCCTTCACTTCTCCACACATCTAACACACATTCCCACCCACCTTCCAGACGCACACACACTCAAACACACGTACACTCACTCACACACATGCATACACCCTCACACACACTCACTCTCAAACACACACATACATAATCACACACACACACATACATACACACACTCCACCACCACCTCCACATACACACCTTTTCCAAACTTCCAACCACCCCACACCTCGACAAAACCCACACACATCCATACCACACAACCTCTCGTACCTTGACAGGCACCGGACACATCCCTGTCACCCCTCCCACCTTCCATGCCCGCCACACCACACCACTCCTCCAACCAGCTCATCAATCTGTTCACCCAGTGCTTCACGTACCTCTAGTTCACGGCACACCCTTGTCTACATACTCCCAAACACATCTCCATCACCCTCTACACACCTCACACCCCACGCAACCCCTGTTCCCGCCGTGTGGACACTGTGCCCTGCCTGGGATGTCATCACCGTGTACAGTCTCTTAAATGTCTATCTTGCCACCAAGAAAACAAGAAACAAGAAAACAGCCAGAAACACAGATCCGAGAAAATAGCTTCCGAGAAAGTAGCTACTGAGTGCTCAGCCCTCATCAGGACCAACAGCATCTCTCCCTCCTCGACTTGGAGGACATTTCGTGGAAATGGGCAGAAGGAAGGTAAGAGCTGGGCTGGAGAGACGGCTCAGCAGTTAAGAGTGTCTGCTGCTTTCCCAGAGGATCAAAAGCAGCACATTGTAGAGTCCAAACCCATTAGTAACGGCCCCCTCGGGATCTGTTCCTACTGTCCCTGTTTAATGGCTTTCTAGTGATGTTTTCCCTCTTGTTTTAAGGACAAGATCATTATCATCGTCTGGACCACACACTTTCTGAAGGCATCTGCTGTTCTTTACTTGCTCATGTGAGGTTAATGGCTTCAGTTAAGGAGAACTGTGCAGGCCTCCTTCCCCCTCCTGGCCCTTCATTGCCAGCTTCCCTTCGTAGCCTTAACTTTTAATGCCGTCTTTAATTGCGTTACTGTCTTTAATTCTGAATTCTTAGTAAACGATATTTTCAGAAAGGAATTTACATAACTTTCGAGGTCGGAATAAATGAATTTAGGCTCCATGGGTTAAAAACTCAGCTGCTTTGTGTACCTAACTACGTCCTTAAATTACTATTAAAATACAACAATCCCAGGAGTGGACACTGCCAGTCATCCGTACCACTAAACGTGCCATAGGGGCATGACTTTAACAGGAATAACCAACCACTTTCTGAAGGGATCGGAATCCAGATACACAGAGAGGATTTCGTGCCTGGAACTGTAAACCCAGGCAAAAAGTCACGGGGGGAGGGGGGAGTCCCTCTGCCCTAGTCGGGAGCCCACTGCTGTCATTGTGTTAAGTGGACACACTGTGCCAAACAAACCATCTTCTAAATCTCTATGCTTATCGCTGTTATATTAATGCTGCTCTCCACTCTCATCAGAGAAGGCTTTTTCTCTCTTTTTCTTTTTTCTTTCTTTTTTTTCTTGTCAAAGAGCAGCAGTTACTATAAGATGCGCAAACTCCTCAGAGTGCTGAGACACATGACTCAAGTTCTCAGCCCTAATCAAAACATCTAAATCACCTACACCCCCGCCAAGGCTTAGGGGATATTACATAACAGTGAGCAGAAAGATATAAGACCTGGAACCAGAGAGACAACGGCTCAGCCGTTAAAAGCCCTGGCTGCCTTTCCAGAAGACCTGGGTTCAATCCCTAAGAACCTCTATGGTGGCTCACAACTTTCTGTAACTACAGTTTCGAGGGATCTGGTGCCCTCTACTGGCCACTCTGGACACGAGGCACACATATGCAGCGTAGGAAAAACACTTTGGAAAAACACCAGTGCAGGTGAAATAGTAGTTAAAAAGGAAAAGGAAAACACAATAAAATGTAAATCTTAGGAAGGAAGGAGGAAGGGATACAGAGAGAGAGAGAAAGAGAGAGAGAGAGAGAGAGAGAGAGAGAGAGAGAGAGAGAGAGAGACATGCCTGGGAGATTGGAGAGGACTTGACATGCTCTTTGTGGTAACACACTCACAGTAGCTGTGGTTAGCTGCATAAGCGTAGGATGCAGAGGAAGTCCTGAAGGAGTGAGTGGAGCCATGAGTGGATGTGTACTGCTGCCATGGTTACAGCCATAACAAAGACCAAAGCCATTCCCCATATGGGCCAGGCTCAAAGCTGGCAGTGTGTCTTTTCCTCCGGTCCAAGCACCAGTGTTTAAGGATGATTAGTATATACAAAATCTAGTGACTGCAGCTTCCTCCTCCTCTCCGATGTTTACAGCCCGAGACCGCTGGCCTTCAGAGACCTCCTGTAGAGACTAGTCAGTCCTCTCACGTAATGATCAAGTTGAGGTTTATGGGGTGGCATTAGTGAGTGTCACTCTATGAGAACGCACACGCCCACCTCGCTCCAGCTTTTCTGCATATGCGTTTGTGCAACGGTCCTTTCTTCATTCCTCCACTGTACTGAGGGTTCCGGGGCCAAGCCATCAAGAGAGAGAGATGGCAAATAAGATTTCCAAGACCAGGTCTGTAACTATTTCATCACGAATGGTCACTGGACTAAGGTAATGCCATCTTGTCCCAACTCCATTTTGTGTCTGCTTAAATACTTCTCAGCCCCCATCCCAGCCTTAAACACATTTGGGCTGATACACATCTGCCCACGATCCAGCAGTATTAACCAACATAAACAATCTTTGTACAGACTAACCAAACTGAGACTGATAAAGGTATAAATAAAAATTGGCTGCCATGATGTCTCTTAAATAGCTGCTATGTTCTGCACAAACAGATGCTGCAGGGTTCCCCTGCCTCTCCTCTAAGACCGATGTCATTGTTATCTGTGTGATGTTCGCATTTACCTCTCGGCTTCACTACAAGGGTCTTTCTGAGGTGCTAGCCTGCTCTTGGTCACTGGCTGTTTTAGTTAGGGTTCTATTGCTGTGAAGAGACACCATGGCCACAGCAACTCTTATGAAAGAAAACTTTTCACTGGGGTTGGCTTACAGTTCACAGGTTTAGTCCATCATTGTCATGATGGCAAGCATGGTGGCACACAGGCAGACATGGTCCTGGAGAGGTAGCACAGTTCTACATCCTGATCGGCAAGCAGCAGGAAGGAAGAGTGAGCCACTGGGCCTGGCTTGAGCTTCTGATACTTTAAAGCCCAACCTCAATGATACATTTCCTCCAATACACCACACCTATTCCAATCCACATGTTCAAATCCTTTCAAATAATGCCATCCATTCCCTGAGTCTCTGGGGGGTGGGGGGGAGGGGCACCATACCAGCCAAAAATAAAATGTCAGCTACGCCAGCATAGCTGACTGAGTTCCTTGGATGGGCGGAGGGCTGAGGGTGAGAGAAAGAAAGACAAGGAGTCATCTGGTAAAGACCAAATGCTATATTTTCAACTGTGTAGATCCCTTTTATACTCCCCACAAAACAGGAACAAGGAGACACCCTTGGCAGCCTATCACCTAAGTTTGGATTTCTCCTTGAGCAGTCTTCTCAGGGAAATGCATAGAGACGGGGGATTGGGCACAAGAGCACAGGTACAGAGGATGATGACTCACAAAAATACTCTAATTTGGTCTTATATGCATGGTAGACTGCAACTTTCTCACCTATTCTATAATAATAAGGAAGAAATCCATCAGGCCTTCAACCCCAGCTGAAGGCATTAATGACTGTGAAGAACCAGCCTGACTCCATTTTATAGTCAGAAGCCATTTTGAGTCCTACAGCTATCTTAAGTTTCTGTTTCCTGGAGACTGACCCAAAGCTCAGTTGTAAAGCACCTTGGGAATGATCTGTACCCGTTGTTCAAGGAGGGGCTTTCCTAATCGCTTCTTTCTGCTTCAGTAGCCACTTGTGCCTGAAAAGATCCCCTATCTTGTTGTGTTGCCCCATTAAAAAGGTATGAGAGAGCTGGAGAGATAGCTCAGCCGTTAAGAGCAGTGACTTCTCTTCCAAAGGCCTTGAGTTCAATTCCCAGCAACCACATGATGTCTCACAACCATCTGTAATGGGATCTGATGCCCCCTTCTGGTGCATCTGAAAAGAGCTATAGTGTACACATATACATAAAATAAATAATTAAATCTTAAAAAAATATAAAAAGTTATGAGAAATTGGCTCAAGGCTGGTCTCTTAAGATTTATCTATTTGCCAGGTGGTGGTGGCACACGCCTTTAATCCCAGCACTTGGGAGGCAGAGGCAGGCAGATTTCTGAGTTCGAGGCCAGCCTGATCTACAGAGTGAGTTCCAGGACAGCCAGGACTATACAGAGAAACCCTGTCTCAAAAAAACAAAAAAAACAAAAAACAAACAACAAACAAACAAAAAAAAAGATTTATCTATTTATTTTATGTATGTGTGTACACTATAGCTGTCTTCAGACACACCAGAAGAGGGCATCAGATCCCATTGCAGGTGGTTGTGAGACACCATGTGGTTGCTGGGAATTGAACTCAGGACCTCTGGAAGAGCAGTCAGAGCTCTTAACCACTAATCCATCTCTTCAGCCAAGGCTGGTCTCTTAAACCCCTTCCTAGGAGGAGAGATAGCCTCTTCCCAGATCTCTGGTGTGCACAATAAAGCTTGCTTTGATTTGCCCATACTTTCTGCTGGTGATCTTTAGGGTTAACATCTGGAAGCCTGTAAGCTTAGATTTTTCAAAACCTACTTTTATTAATGGTTCTTAAATGCTTTAACATCACTTCTAGCCCACCACCCACCAGAGGTAGTGCAAAGGAAAGGTTACTAGAGCAAAGGAGGATGTGGACCTGTTTAGAAACGGTTCTTTGAAGCAAATCCAATCTGCGTTGTCGAGATATCTATCAGCAGTTCAGTTCACATGAATCAGCAGCAGAAGCTTTATCCACTCACAAACACCATTCATGAATCAGTAATGGCAGGACTCACAAACACCAACCAAGAATCCACAATGGCAGGTCAATCCAGAAAAAACTATAAGGCTCTGCCAATCAGCTGAGTCCTCAGAAGTGGCAAGAAGCCACAGGAACAACCACCAGTAGTTTTTTTGGTGCATTTCTCTCTATGAAGTAATAACAAATGATGACCAACAAAGAATGGTAAAGAAAGGCATACCAATACTATCTTGTGTCGTCAGCAAAGCCCAACAATGGCCTTCAAAGAATGTCAAGGCATACCGATACCATCCAGAATCATTCACTGTCCACTGGGCTATATTTATAGCCTTTCCAAACATCACATGTTCTCTCAAGCATCTGCTCTCGCAAAACATCATATTCCTAGCCGGGTTGTGGTGGCGCACGCCTTTAATCCCAGCACTTGGGAGGCAGAGGCAGGTGGATTTCTGAGCTGAGTTCGAGGCCAGCCTGGTCTACAGAGTGAGTTCCAGGACAGCCAGAACTATCCAGAGAAACCCTGTCTCGAAAAACAAAAAACAAAAACAAAAAAAGTCATATTCCCTTTTTCTTTTTCTTTTCTTTTTTTTTTTTTTTAGGATGCCTCCAGAAAAAAAAACACCATGTATCCATTCTTAGCAAAGCATTCTCCCGTGTATCTACTGCAGCATCCTCTCATAAGAGGTTCCAGAAAAACATCGCATGACACAACTGAGTCTCCAAAGAAACCAGAAATTTCCACATTAGAGGCCCATGAAAGATAAGGACTCCAACCTAAATTTAGAAGCTGGACCCTTTGCTCTGAGCCTCCGAGACTGAAGAATCATTCCCCAGAGGGAGCACACTTTGGGGACATTCCAAGGACCAGGGGTTCACCTCCAGCTTGGCAGACTGCTGCAGCTAATAGCCACATCAAAAGAAGCCTGCAAGCACCTGTCTGGGAGGACTCTATGGGTAAGTTATAGTTCTTTCTATGACATCTGGTCCTGATTCTGTCAGCTGGGGTTCTTTCTGATTAGTTTTATAAGTCACAATTCTTTCTAGACCATCTGATCCTGGTTCTGTTGGGATTCCATCTGGAGACAATGAGGTATCTCACAAGACACTTGAACTCCTTGTCCAGGGCACTAGCGAGAGGACACGTTGCTCACATGGGTACTGGCCCCTGTGTTGCATGTAATTTTTGCTCTACCTGCCTTTGCTCTGGGAAGTGACTGTGCTACCAGCCCTCACCCAGCTTCTACCCAACCACCAGACTCAAGCATATCTGTTTAAGAATTTGTTCCAAAATTTTTCTGTAGTATGTCAGGATAGCCACTTAACTTTGTGACACAGCGGGTGGGGGTGAGGAGTTGAGGGGGGAGGAAGCAGAACAGCCAAAGAAATAGTACTATCTGTTTCCTTTAACTGCCTAAAACTTTTCCTAAGATAAGAACCTTACTTCAAGATTCATAAAAAACTGTTGTGCAAACTTTATATACATCAATATCTGTAAGTTTGTTAGATATGATTTAAAAGTCTGTAACAAAAAAATTGACTTAAAGCCGGGCGGTGGTGGCACACGCCTTTAATCCCAGCACTTGGGAGGCAGAGGCAGGCGGATTTCTGAGTCCGAGGCCAGCCTGGTCTACAGGGTGAGTTCCAGGACAGCCAGGACTACACAGAGAAACTCTGTCTTGAAAAAAAAAAAATTTATACCCACGGGCTGGAGGGATGGCTCAGCGGTTAAGAGCACTGACTGTTCTTCCAGAGGTCCTGAGTTCAATTCCCAGGAACTACATAGTAGCTCACAACCATCTGTAATGGGATCTGATGCCCTCTTCTGGTATGTCTGAGGACAGCTACAGTGTACTCACATACATAAATAAATGCTTAGAAAAAAATTATACACAGGTAATCTTAAAGAGACATGTACCTAATGGGCTCTCCCTGGAGTAAATGACCATATGGTTTGATGTCATCTGGGCTGATTCCATCATGATGTAAGCAATTTTAAACCTTCTTTCACGGCTTATGCAACCAATGATCCCTAAAACAGGAGAGCTCAGAACCTCCCATGCCCTGAAAGTAAAATAAAACAAATACTGCCCCAGGCTGGGTAGGGGAGGGGATTACTGCTGGGGAAAGATTCTCTTTGTCATCCAGTCAGTCCTATATATTGAAAAAAAATCTATACAAATTAGAAAAGTTTAAAGATATAAGTAGGTCCCTGTTGCTGGAGGTAGCTCACAAGATGTTTAACAACAGAGAACTGATCCCACAAGACCTTTTGCTTAAACTGAAAGCCATCCTCACCTCCTCTGACTCACAGATATACAACAAAATGTTGGTGTCAGAAAATCTGTCAGAAAAAAAAAAGAAAATCTCCTAGCTGAAAGTCCTGTCCCCAATCAAAAGATACAGTTGGATTATACAACAAAGATTCTCAGAAGCCAACCACAAGAACTGGCCCAACACCAGGTTCCTATAAATGTTCAACCAACCAGTTCAGCTACCTCTGTCCAGATTAAACAACACTTGCTTAATAAAATATTAAAGCTGTACCTCTGTGCATTTATGTACCTCGTGATGACAGCAAAATTTGTGCTGTAAGAGTTACCCAGACAGAACTGGTTTTAAAGACATTCAAAAGTCACAGAGAGCTGCTGAAACCTGCCGTTGTGTGGCAGGATTGGAGTCCCTAAAAAGATCTCAAGAGAGACTATTAGTGAGAATGCAGCCCAGTTACAATAAGGGACCTGCGCAGTTTTGGGAATACCAGTGCCTTATGATAGCCCCCAAGAACAGCAGCTGCAATAAAAGACACTGGGGAGGGCAGAGCCAAAGAGATGACCCTAGGCCCCTGATTAGAGCCCAGGGGATCCTGAGTGAATTAAGTGAATCACAGATACTAAGCATTGACTTGTTCACACTGCTGAAGTTTAAGTCATGCCCTGTCCAGACTGTGATTGTGCCTCCCCGCTGTCCAGCTCCTCTTGCAATAAAAAAAAAGATACTTGATTTATGTTTTGATATTACAGGAACCCACAGTTGAGAGATATAACAGGGCCCTTTGTAGGCCCCCAGCCCTTAGCACAACTGACTCCATGATGGAAGGACCATTCAGGCTGTAGAACTCGGCACGTAGACAGCACCGCCAGCCAAAATGAAAACAAAGACCTAATTCATTAAAGTCCTTGCTTTTTCGCTTCTGTTGTTCTGTTTCTGATTATTAATGTTAGTTGATGTCAACCCAAGACATGGGTTTTTATGATTACAAGCTCACCCTGATAAAAGCTCAGGGTTACACTGGAACCCCAAACATCCAGTCTGGTCTCTGGCCAATTAATAAAGACAAAAACAAAAACAAAACCTAAAGATTTAGGGCCACAGCTCTGAGCACCAAACACTAAAACACCAAACACTTGATACTAGGATATTCCTATTTTTCTCTATTTTTTGGTGCAGCAAGACAATGATCTAAGCAGTACGGGAAAGAGCCTATAAGATGTCCCTTTTTACCTAAGATCTATGCCGGTTAACAGGCTAGCTTTAAAATGTATGTCTAGACTCCTTGTCCCCACTAACTTTGTTAAACTTTAACTATTCTGATAAACTGAGTCATACACGCAATTGTGATATCTGTAATGGTGCACTATGTAAACACCAGGAAAGTCAAGTTGTCAGTCCCCTTACGGACTCTCTGTGATTAAAAGTTTATTTGGATACTAAAAAAACTTCAACCCTGCCCCCACAGTAGAGGTGCTGGGGATGTAGCTGCTGTGTCACATGTGTGACAGTGAGTGGCTGAGATGAGAGAGGCCATGCCCACACTCAGTGTGCTGACCTGTGGGCACCAGAATGATGAGTAGTCTAGCCTAATACTTCCTGAAGAACGCAAGCTCGAGATGACCATGGCGCCGTGCATGCTCAGACAGGTTCCCAGGGCGGGATCAATCAGGAGACAAGAAAAACCCCACCTGGGACCTTGGATCCTGGACAGGAGTGAGCCCAAGACAGAGGCTACTCGGGTACGTGCAGAGCGAGCCTGAAATAACCACCAGTCTAGCACCGCACAGGCCTGGGTAGGGCAGACCATGCTCCAGATGACCCCTGCCCAGCGCCATAACACACAAGTGGGACATTGCACTCCTGAGATCACTCTTGAGATAACCACAGACCCCCGGAGACCTGAGGTATCTTGAAGAGAAGCAAGTAAGTGGTGGAGACATGGAAAAGGAGGAAACAGAAGGATGTGGACACGGTGAAGAGAGGCGGAACTGGAGATTTGAGGGTCGTGAGGAGCAGCCTGATGTGTGTAGCAGGTGATGATGGCACCTGGAACCACAGCGGGGTCCTGGCCTGCACTGTACCTGGGGCCACATCTGGGTCCCCAGACCTGCAGAAGCGGAATCTGTTACCACCAAAAGCCTGGCTGATGTCTGAGGGCTGTGCAGAACTGGCCCCACCTCTCACCTGGGCATGGAGGGAGAGCTAGCCCTGGGCCATGAGAACAGAAGAGCTGACCCTGCCCATAGCCAGGTGCGGTACTGGGGAGTTGCAGGTGTGCGTGCATACCAAGACACGTGCTGGCCTTCAGGCTCTCTCATTATCAAGAAGATACCTGTTAAAACCAAACGGACCAGTTTGGAGAGAAGGCTTAGCTGTTAAGAGCACTGGCTGCTTTTCCAGAGGTCCTGAGTTTAATTCCCAGCAACCAGCAGCCACAGATTGCTCATAAACATCTGTAATAAGATCTGATGCCCTCTTCTGGCATGCAGGCACACAAGTAGGCAGAACACTGTATAAACATAATAAATGTCTGTCTGTCAACAGACAGGCGTATTAGCTAGAATAATTTCACAATACAATAGACCGCTCAATCTGCTCTATGCAAGAATGGCTTTAGAGAAATTTGTCCTTTCTATGCTAGCCAATCAAGTACAGTTAAAGTGTCCCTAACCATGATAAGAAACAATCTTAAAACCAAACACTTGAACCAACAGGAAGGCGGTACCAGGCCCTGTCCAGCTAGTCTCCTGGCTAACTACTCTAGTTTTAGCCACTGCAGGTCCCTAGTCCTCATCCTAAGACTCCTACCAATCAGGCCATGCATCTTCTGGAGTATTGCAAAGTTACTTTCCTGTCAGATTTTTAAAAACACTAAAATACTTGCCCCCCATGGGTAAACATAAAACCATAAAACAATTAGAAGTGAAAGAACCCTGTCAGGGACTTGACAAGGCCACAGAAGAGAAGGTGAGGAACGGAGAACCAGTTGGACCCCGTGTTACAATCAGGAGCCATTTTGAGTCTGTAGCTAAGTTATGGTTCTGTTTACTTTTTAAGTTTCTGTTTCTTGGAGGCTAATACAAAACTCAGCTGTAAACTAGTTCCCTGAGAATAGTCTGTACCCATTGTTTAAGGAGGGCTTTCCTAACTGTTTCTTTTACGTCTGTAACCACACTTGCTTGAAAAAGAATCCCTACCTTGCAGTATTGTCCTATAAAAAAGGAATGAGAACATTTTGGTTTCTTGGTCCTTAAATTCCACCTTAGTGGGAAACAGCCACTGGCCAAATCTCTAATGTGGATAATAAAACTTGCTTTGATTTGTCCATACGTAGTCTTGGTGGTCTTTCATATATGTATTTGTATGTGTATGTGTGATATGTGTGTATATGTGTGTGTATGTATGTATTTTATGTATATGAGTACACTATAGCTCTCTACAGACTCACCTCTGTTGTTGTTGTTTAAGACAGGGTATTACTATATATTCCTGGATGACCTGAAACTCCCTGTATAGACAAGGCTGGTCTGAAACTCCCAGAGATCTGCCTGCCTCTGCCTCCCAAGTGCTAGGATTAAAGGTTTGCACCACCACATCCAGACTACCACATAGTGTTTTTGCAGAGGACCCCAGTTCAGGTCCTAGCATCCATGCTGGTGGCTCAGGCTCACCTGTAACTCTAGCTCCAGGGGATCTGATGCCCTCTCCAGGACTCCTCGGGATCCAACACTCTCACATATACAAACACGCATACACATATACATGTAATTAATAAAACAAATCCTGCTTTAAAAGGTGGAAGAATCAACTCCCTCAAGCTGGCTTCTATTCCTGTGTCGTGACACATATGTACCAACACACACACATTATAAGGAAATAAATGCATTTTTTTAATATTAAAAGATATACTGGGTCTGGAGAGATAGCTCAGCAGTTAAGAGCACTGACTGCTCTTTCAGAGGTCATGAGTTCAATTCCCAGCAACCACATGGTGCCTCACAACCATCTGTAGTGGGATCTGATGTTCCCTTCTGGTATATCTGAAGACTGCTATAGTATACTCATATACATAAAATAAATAAATAAATCTTTAAAAAAAAGAAAGATATGCTGGAGAGACGGCTTGGCGAATTAGGGGCACTTGTTGCTCCTGCATAAGACCCAGTTTGATTTCCACGTGGTAGTTTACAATTATCTGTAACTCCATTTCCAGGAGTCTGATACCCTCTGCTGACCTCCATGGTTACCATGTATGCCTATGGTATACATACATGTAGACAAAGCACTTACACACTTAAAACAATTTTTTTTCATTAAGCCTTGTGTGGTGGCACATGCCTTTAATTCCAGCACACAGGAAGCAGAGGGAGGTGGATCTCTATGCATTTAAGGCCAGCCTGGTCTACATAGTGAGTTCTAGGATAGCCAGGGCTACAGAGACAACCCCTGTTTCAAAACAAAACCAATAATCATAAAAGAAAAGAGAGATTAGGTGTGCTCACACTGAGAAAGCATTATGAAGTAATTATGCCTGGAAGGGAATTAGTCTCCTGAGTTTCAGGGATGCTAGGTGCTGGGTAGGTGACTGGATGGGACACAGCAGTAATGTCTAGCCTAGACAACACTGGACAGACAGCAATGTCTAATCTATGTAAGGAACTCGGTATGAGTGCTCAGGACTACATGTGGAATGAGACATCATCAGTTGTAGGGAACGAGGTTTAATTTTCCCAGGTCATGTTCTTCTTTCTCCGTGTCATTTTTCTTGTAGATATAAAAACACCAAGGAGTATAATTTAGCCGGGCAGTGGTGGCGCACGCCTTTAGTTCCAGCACTTGGGAGGCAGAGGCAGGCAGATCTCCTAGCTGGAGGCCAGCCTGGTTTACAGAGCGAGTTCCACGACAGCCAGGGCTATACAGAGAAACCCTGTCTAAAAAAAAAAAAAAAAACTAAATACAGTTCGGGTTTTTTCCTCTCATTAGGAAACAGACTGCCCTTACAAGATGCAACGCTAAACAAAGAGATGGAGCAGCTAATGCGAAGTTTTTTTGGTTTGGTTTGGTTTGGGTTTTTTTTTGGTTTTTCGAGACAGGGTTTCTCTGTATACCCCTGGCTGTCCTGGAACTCACTCTATAGACCAGGCTGGCCTCGAACTCAGAAATCCGCCTGCCTCTGCCTCCCAAGTGCTGGGATTAAAGATGTGCACCATCAACTCAGCAGTCCCATGAGTCAGCTATGAGTCTGGGGAAATCCCCGTGATAAACTGAGCCTGGCCACGCCCTGCTGGGGTGTAGGCGCTACAGATCCAAGTGCTTCCTGGGACCACCACCCTGACCTTCAAGTTTCACTGTGGAGTCATTGTTGCAACTGATTCCGGAGCCACGGCGGATGCTTTTATTGTTTCCCAGACCAGGAAGAAAGTCCAAGAGATTAACCCTTATCTTCTGGGCAGTGTGGCTGGGGATGTAGCAGCCTTCTGTGAGCAGTTGTTGGCTCGGTAGTGTCGAATCTCCGAGCTTTGAAAGGATGAATGGGGGCTGGAGAGTTGGCACAGTGGTTAAGAGCATTGACTGCTTTTCCAGAGGTCCTGAGTTCAATTCCCAGCAACCACATGATGGCTCACAACCATCTGTAATGGGATCTGATGCCTTCTTCTTCTTCAGCAATAGTGTACTCATCCATAAAATAAATAAATAAATCTTAAAAAAGAAAAGAAAGGACCTCTGTTGAAAGGATCTCTGTTGCAGCGGGCCTTCTGCTTGCTAACGTGGTGTGTCAGCCTGACAGCATGGGGTTGTCCGCGAGCACCATGTTCCACCCAGAACCACCCAGAACCATGCTTGGATAACAGAGGCCCTGCCCTCTACTGTGTGGACAGTGAAGACAACCTGAATTCTGGAACGCTTTCTTTGGATTCTTGCTTTAGGTGAGTTTTGGGGACATGAATCAAGGCTACTCACATGATCTAGAGGTGGAACAGACCTGTCGAGCCATCTACGGAGCCATCCCCAGGCATCTCAGGGACAACTTATAAGGAGACAGTTATCTGAGTCCAGACATCTTAAGGACGCCTTGCCTGTCTTGCTGTGGCAGGGTCAAACTAAGTTCATGTACCCAAGCCCAGAAACCAACTCTTAAACTGATTGGTGAAAACTCCCGCACTCAACCCCTTATATCAAAATGTGATTGGACAATGTTACAGCCCACCTCGCTCCCCCAAGCTATGTGGTCTCACCCTTTAGCTATGCTGTGCAGTTTCTCTTTAGGGTCATAGTTCAGCTCCCAAGTCTTTTCTGCTGCCTTGACCCATCAGTAGTGGCTTGATCGCTATAAATTTTTGTCATCTGCATTGACCTGGTGTTTTGAGTTCTGTTGGATTTATGCTGGCTCTAAGCAGATCCCACAACACTAAGGGATAATAATAAAATAAAACAACATAAAACAAAACTAACACATTAAAACAAACAAGGAAAGGCAAATGAGACAGGCATAGACACAGAGACCCACTTAGTCACACACTGAACTGGGAAGCCATAATATACACTCGAAACAGCTTGCTGAGTAAAAAGAGAAAAATAATTAAAAATA